CAGAAGAGGGTTCGGAGAGGTACCGAGTAGTTGCAGTGCCAGTCCACGCCAAATGTGTGGCGGTAAAGTGTTGTGCAGTGGGGACTAAGGGGAATGTCAAAGGTGAGAGTGTCTGGTGTTGCAGTAGTTAGGGGGTAGGATGTCTTGACATGCGGACATGGGTGATTCGTGTGGCGTAAGCGGTGTTGATGGGGTGGGTGTAGGTGGGTTTGGAGTGGGTTAGGAGGGTTTTCACAGAGGCGTCAAACATTTGTATCCTTTTTGCAAAGTTGAAACTGATAATCCGTTTTTCACTAATTACGGCTTGCTTACCTTTTTCCTGTCTTTGGTTTTCCAAATCCAATTTGTTCAGTTGTGTTAAACTGACCCAAAGATTGTTTAATTATTTCGACGTATGTAGCTTTCTTGATACTAGATCAATTCCCTACAATATATTGTGAAAGTCCGTACCTGCACTTGGGCAGTTATCTTGTTATTTTATACTGTTTTGTGTAAATTAAGTAAAAAATTCCGCTGAAGGTCACACTTGTCTTGTGTCGAAGTCAACTTCCGTGTTCCCTCGGCAACTGCATTTGTTTCTGTCAATGAACTAGCGCTTGTGTGCGGAGAAACTCCTTAGTGGGGCTCCAATATCTTTTGCGTGTGTACACGGTTTTACGCCTGCACGTCTATTTTGCATATAGACATGCCCTGTTATTTCTGTGTGAGCGTTACTCAGCCGCGCACGACAAATTTGCATGCAACGGACTTGTATGTAGATTTAAGGCAAAAAGAGAAATTACCATATTGTAATTTAAGCTCCCGTTGTGGCACTTCCATTTCCTTGTGAAAATAAGATTCCGGGCCTTTTAGCAAATCTGTATATTTTGGTGTGACTCTATTCACAGTGCAACTATAAAACAGATGTCTTTTTTTTTATCACTTTGAAGGTTAAATCTGCTTGAAACGAGTCCAAATTTTGGCAGAGTCAAGAGCGATTGTAAGACTCAGATCATGTTTTGCTCCGTGTACTCAACGTTTCATCTGATTCCATTAGTTGGTTTCTTTTCTCGTTTTGTAATAGACCATAACTTAACTTTCCACTGGTCAAGTTAAAAAGCAAGTACCCAAAAGTAAAAGCAACATTTTGTTAAATCCGTTTACACTTATCGTACTTACTAATGCTTGAAAACTCGTGATCGCACTGGCTCTCATAATACGGTGTTTGTGTTCATTTTTACTTTTTCACAGCTTGAATTTAAATTAGAACTGTTTGCTCCTAAACGACTTGTTCACATTTGAACAGTAGTTGTTGGTCTCACCAGAAACGTCCTATTAATTACGGCAATTTTGATTTTCGTCACATTGACCAGTTTAAAGTATGGGACAGCGTTACTAACCAACAGTCCATGCAAGTCAGTCACCGCGTGTTCGCATCGCTCTATGCACATACTGTTTACTGCAATCGGGCGACAACCAGGAACGCTCTTAGATGACTCGTTTTTTAATCATAATCAGTTTGGAACTTTTCATTATGCTCCAAGCAACTCTTAATTTTCCGAATTTCATTTTGGTGCTTTGTTCCACCTTAAGGATGCTTCTACCTAGCCCTTACAATCAGAGGCATTTGTATCATCAGTTCAGTTTCGCGCAAATTCTAGTTTCGTTTTTAATAAATGATTGCGAAATTTTTACCGATGCGGGTGTTGTCGAACATGCATTCTAAAGGCCTCTGTCGGGAAATGCCGTTACTCACACTCGACAAACTTCCTCACCACAATTTATTTCGTTGAGTAATATCACTCACTTGATGCATTCACTACTGTTTGTGGGTCGAAATGGCGGAGGCATAGGTCATGTCTTTTATCAGCTCTGGAAAAACGTCATCGGGTCATATTCGTGCCAAAATTCGTTCGTATTATTTTGGCATGGCAGTAGATCAGTTTAGCTTCCTTTACGTTTCACAGGCAATTTGGAAGGATGCAGAGATCGTCAGTATGTCAGCAACAGCTGGCAACGAAACCAACTTTGGCCCGGCCCGTACCGTACGCAAGGGGATGCTGCGCACCGTGAGCCAGCTCTACAAGGAGTCTCTAATTCGTTTAATGTCAGTTCTGCAGAACACAAACCCCAATTTCGTTCGTTGCATCATTCCCAATCACGAGAAGAAGGCCGGTCGGATCGACGTACCATTGGTTCTTGATCAGCTTAAGTGCAATGGTGTTCTCGAGGGAATCCGAATCTGCCGACAGGGCTTCCCTTCACGAGTACCCTTCCAAGAATTTCGCCAACGATATGAAATTCTCACACCCGACATCATCTCTAAGGTACGGCATTTAGTGTTCATATTTTCAGTTACCTGTACCTTCCCAATTCACAATGTTTCTCTTTAACTGTTGATTAATTGGTTCTCTAATTACATGTTAGACCGAGAATGTAACCAACGCAATATCCATTTTGGCCTCGTTGCTGACTATTTATTCGTCTTTTTTCCTTGTGCGAAACCAACTCTCCAGGTCTTCAATGTCCATTTTTAGTCCTCTCTCAAAGTCACCTTTATCGGTCTGCAACAGTTAACTGGAAGTATTTTGCCTTTGTTAACACTTGTTTCCTAGTGCAGTGAGTGTTCGATGAATTTGATCCAAACGTTAACCTTCGGGTTTTCGTAAGTTTTGGGTTTTTGGTGCGGGGGGCTCCCATGTCATTTCCTTCTGTAACAGCAAAATGGATCTGTACATTTGTATTGTTCACTTGTTACCTTTTGCATCTCCAGTCTTCACAAACAGACCATTATTTTTGGTCTCACATTGATAGCGAAAATGCCCTCTTGTGGTGAATCCTACTGACTTGATTCTTCCAGGCATGTCAGTATTCTCCATTTAGACCTCTGCAATTCTCCCAAAATATCTTACCACCCCCCTTTCCTTAAATCTCTGATTTTATACATACGTCATGGCCGCTTCCTAGCTTCAAGGGCACCACTGAATGATTTCCAAGTCAAATCTTAGTTATGTGAATCAGCGCCATCATCCATTGTACAATATCGTATACCCAACCGTCGGAATTTTGCAACCTAACTGCCACCCACTTTTCCAACATGATTTTCCTTGTTTCCTTAGGGCTACATGGACGGACGAAAGGCTGCCGAGCTAATGGTTCAGCATCTCGAATTGAGTCCAGAGCTGTACCGCATTGGCCAAAGCAAGATTTTCTTCAAGGCTGGTGTTCTTGCCCAATTGGAAGAGGATCGTGACCTCCGTTTGACGGCAATCATGATCAATTTTCAGGCCCACTGCCGCTGTTACCTTGCCAAGAAGTGAGCCGTCTTCGCATCCACTTATACTAGTTTATTTGCAGTTTGTCATATCATCAATGCGATTTCACCTTGAGTTGTATGCAAAGGGTTTCATATGTTAAGAAAGGTCACCTGGTAGTACCGTTCAGTGGCATAGTTATCCTAACCTCGCTTACCATTTAACATAGAGTGCATGTTTATTTTTTAAATCGTGTCACTACACGAGTATCATACCCTTTTATATCAGTGGGCCGCATTGATTTTTTCCCAACAACAACGGCACCTGGTTACTAAAGCGTTTCAAAGCCTTAAGTATTTCCGCTTCTGCAATTCCACTCGAACCGAGTGTTAATCGAAGGTTTTCACCAATGAATCTCTAAATTGTGCTCCTGTTGTGGAAAAAGGCTTCTTTTCACTTAGTGAGGGTTGAATTTAACGCCCTATCACCAGGAAATAAGGCAGTAGCTCTTAGGTTTTGGGCAGTAATCTATTCGTGTGTACGAAAATCGTCGTACACAATGGCAAGCTAATGCTCTTCACCTCCTTTACAGGGCCGTTCAGCAACGCATTCAGGATATTCAAGCCATTCGTATCATTCAGCGTAACTGCGTTGCGTATTTGAAGCTACGCAATTGGTCTTGGTGGCGCCTCTTCACTAAGGTTCGCCCACTTCTCAGCGTCACTCGGCAGGAGGAAATTGTAGCTGCTAAGGAGGAAGAGCTGCGAAACGTAAGTATTCAATGTGGTTATCTTTATCCATCTGGTTTGGCGATACTTTCCATTTTTTCTCTCAAGTGCCGTTCCTCCTAAATGCTTTGTGTGGCTTGGCATAGGCAACATTCTTCGTGAACTGCAAATGCTATATTCATTCTGTTTACATGTTCTGGTTTCCGTCCAGCACGGTATCTTGCTCCACTCGAAACCGAACGATTTAGCTTCGAATTGGGACGTTTTAGTGCTTTATTCAATTGGTTAAAATATGATGTATCGTTCCAACTTACTGTTTTTGGCCATGACGTTCATGCCCTGTTTTATCTGGCTGACCTTGAGCCACAAATGAGGTTTCAGAGGTACACGTTGCTCTAAAATCGATCAAAAGTCAGCCAGTTCCCGAGTGTCACGGCTTCATAATCATTATGATGCCGTTTCATGTGTTCAAGTAGAATACGTGAAGCGCCTTTTGGCAGTAAAGTATCGTGTGTTGCATTGCACTGGCATGCCTCACGTGTGCATACCTACATGCACTAACGTTATTGTTGGCTGCGTCTGCCCTGCCATTTGGGTTACTTTCCTAATTCAAAGCAGTAAAATTCTCCCCATTGAGTTCACTGGACTCAGGCACTAATTAATGCTTACCGCAACAGTTCGTGTCAATGTTTTGGCGCAATTCGTCGGTGTTTTGTTAAGATTTGTTTGTCTTGGAATATTTTATAGTGGACCTTCACCTAAACTCACCGATTTAATTTGTCATGTAGTGCTTTCCACTCGGATGGCAAAACGGATTTGTTCCGAACAGATTCGTGCTCTATTTGAAGCTAATTTTCTTTAGTACAGGCAGAGCATAGATGAGCAAAGCGAAACTCGGACGTTTGGAATTAGACTTCCAGTTACCCTGACAAGGCGATAAAGAGGGCGAGACGAAAAAAGTCACATGTGGACTCTATTTTGCTTTGCTAGTACGGGTTTTGTTTAAGTACGGCCTTCTACAACCTACGGGGTTCATTTTGCATACACTGCGGAAATTCAAATCGTCTTTTCTATTTAGTACCAGTTAGTAACGACAGAAATCTGCATGTGCCTGCTGTCACCGACGTAGCCGACCATACATACAATTACATCCTCATACAACACCCTGGGTTACCAAGTATTTGTGTTTGATTTACACAAGCATTGCAGTGCTGTCTTAAGGTGCGCAGTTAACCGTTAGAACTGCGTGTTCGTAGTTGTATATTTCCATGTTAGTTGCCCTCTAGGTAGTTTCGGGGTGACTAGCATTTCACTCGCTTCGTTTATGTAAATCCACGACCAGTATCCTTACTTGGTTAGTTGTCAAATTATGCCCTCAAATCTAAAACTCATTTATTCGCAATTAAAAGACAATTTTCATTGCTTTTGCATTGCTAGTTGAATTTGTCGTGCAATTTTGAAACATCTTAAAGGCCTGCTTGTCAGCCCTACCGGTCTTCTTCAGTCAACCTGTCACGTATGTTTCAGGCAGGTCAATGGAAAAAAATGTACTAAAACATAATGTGCATATTGTTGAATATTGGGTTCCCTTTTTTAATAATCCGTGGGTCTGTTTTTTGGTTTTATCAATTTAACGATTTATTTCTCCGTTCAGGTTCAAGATGCCCTCAATAAGACATCTGCTGCTCTTACGGAAACTGGTGCAGCCTACGAAGAGGCACAGAAGAAACTTGTTGCGCTGGAATCAGAACTGCAAATCGAACACGAGTCATTCATTGCAGCGGATGAAGTAATTTTGTTGTTGTCGTTCGTGTTTATTCGTGTTAATTACATCGTAATCGAAATGTTCTGCGCGATAAAAAATGTCCCCTTTTTCAGCTAAACTGTCAATGCCGCTTTGTTAGTCGGGTGATCTAGTATCGCCAGCGATAAATCGTACTTTTCAATATAAACTGTGCCTGCCCCTGTCAGCGTTATATTTGCTGAGTTTCTGTGCTAGAGCTGTGCCTCACATAGCTACTTGCCTCAAAAGTTGAGCGAGACTGCACTTTGGTAACCGTTTTGACTTTCGCCCTGCCACCGATGTGTGCGCTACCTGTGAAGTTTTTCTTGCTTGCGCGTGTGCACTCAATACACGCGTGCTCACAGCGTTGCACAGGGCCGATACAAAAGTTAATCCCTCGTAGAGAAATAGATGTGAGTTGCTTTGGCACATGTACTTCCGTCCAAATTGGTTTACCCCTTGAGCTATATTGGAATGCACTGTAATTCCGCGATACGGGAAAGTTTCGACGAAGCTAAGTTCTTATAACGAAGCACGTGTTGTTTCTTTGTTTTAATTAGTAAAGTCGCCGCCGACAGTGTTGGTAGCACCTCAGCAACATGCATTGCAACCTGATTCCTGCATATGTTAGTCATCCAGTGTATTCTTTTCGTACTCGACCGTAAAAGTTTAAACGCGCTTTTTGTCTTGTAGTCCTAAGCATCACAGTCATGGTATTTCAGCGATAAGAAAAGGTTATTCAGCTGCTTCCATTTAACTTGAGCCTTGCCTTAAAATGAGTAGCCTGCTATTGACAATGTATTTAGTTGCGTTAACTTCTTCGACATTCATTCTCCTCCTAGTTCTTTATTTTGTTAGGCTCAAACTTTTCATATTCGAAGCCGTTTTTTAAAGCCGGATCTTTTCGTTTTAGTATGGCTTGCTCTAGAGGTGCTTTTAGGTAATGCTATGTCTGAGACCAGCTAAGACGTCTAATTTCTCGTCTTTCCACATTTGTCAAATCAGTTATTTCGGCTAATGATATCCTTTGAATGGTTAATTTGTGGGCTTCGTAATAACTATTCTTCGTTTTGGTCCTCTTTTTCTGGTAGTATTTTCCGTCATTGGCTGCGCAGCTAGCTGTTATCTTTCCCGCAGCTCAAAGGTTTCAGCGGTCTTTTGGATCTTTTTTGAAATTGTGCCGTTTTCTTGTCATTTTTCTGAATCTCGGTGGACGGCGTCTACCATAAAGGGCCGATCTGCTTTCGATTAATGAAGCAAATGTTCGCTCATTGGTGTCTCCCTGATTTCAGTCCGATCATAATGCTTACACTCCCGTCATTGTAAACATCAAACTAGATTGATGCTTGCTTAAAAGGTCTGCTGGACTATTTAATAACTTTCCTGTCGCATTTGGAAATCGGTATTATGATTCCCCATCACTTTGCATTTTAATTGGTAACCAAAGGTGGGGAGTTCTGATCTTATTAAGACTGTCCTAATAATTTAAGATAGATGACCGTTTAATTCCGACAACTTCCTCGCAGTTTGAGGGCTCTCGTATGTCTCTTTATTGTTGCAGTCATGTAATCACCATGTACGGTGCCAATTTTTGCCTAGTTACTTTCCCCATGCTATAAACTTTCAATAAAAAACTACGCAACTGTTTTTTTATTAGCGCGAGAGGAAACTGAGAATCGACTATCAGGCCGCTTTGGATGAAATAACCGACCTTGAAACTCGTGAAAACGAGCTCAAACTCCTGACCTCTGAACTTGAGGCCCAGAAAAAGACCCTTTCTGATCAGGTAAAGCTTTGCTGCTGTCTCTTTTGCACTGTAATTGACTAGGCGTTAAATTAACCTACGTAGCCAAGTTTTCTTGCTTTTTTCCCTCTTGGCTTTAAGTTACTTTTTTCACGAAACCAGTATTCAATTACTTAAATGCTTTGTTAACAACGTTGCCATAATGCGTTTTGGGACTGCAATACACTATCCCATGTGTTTGTGCAGTTCAGATAATCTTTGAAAAATGTTTCGTTATCCCGAGGCACATCCTTTTAACTATTCATTTTCTGTTTGGAAGATAGTCTTTACTGTATATCTTTGTTTAAGTATTTCAGACTTCACTTAAGATCATTTTAAATATAGTTTTTTAATGATTTGGGTTCATTTTTATGTCGGTCCTGTTGACACCAGATGAAATTTGTTGTTCAACCTATCTTTTTGATAGGTTACTGACATTTCTGATCAACTGGAAGCTGAGGAACAACACCGGCAAAAATTGCAACTGGAGAAGGGTTCTCTCGAACAAACCGTCAAGGCGCTCAACGAGGACCATGCCGCGCTTGAGGATAAATACTCCAAGTTGGAAAAAGAAAAGAAATCGATCGAATCTCGCCTGGCCGATTTGTCAAGTCACTTGACCGACGAAGAAGAGAAGTCCAAGCAGCTAATGAAACTCAAATCGAAGTATGAGTCAAGCATCTCGGAACTCGAGGAAAAGTTATCCAAAGAACAGGCCTCGCGACAGGACCTAGAACGCGCAAAGCGACGGCTTGAGGCAGAGGTCTCAGAAAAGGCCGAACAAGGAGCTGATCACTCTCGTCTGATTGATGAGTTGAAGCAGCAGTTGGCAAATCTCGAGGTTGAACTCGCTAAGACTCAACAGAAACTAGATGAAGAATCTATGGCAAAAACTGTTGCCATGAAACAGGTTTGTTCATGCGTTTAATCAGATTTGTGCGGGTTGAAGTAAAATCACCTTGTTCCTGTTTAAGTCTTAAGTACCAAATCGTTAGCTCCTTTAACGTCACCGACTAGATTTAGTAGACGTTTCGTTTTTTCACTTACGACTAATGGCTTCGGTTTTATTCCCGCTATGTGAATATATTTCCTTTGAATTCCGAAAAGGTCGTTATTTGGCTTTTGAGCTCTGCCCTCAAACTACCTGTTTCCCCCTCAACATTGCTGTATTCCACTTTTTTTTATCGTCGTTGACTCTTTCATGTATCCATCTACACCTGTTACCCCTGGAAGGCTATTATTTCGCCTGTGTTTGAGGCGAAAAGCACAAAAATCTCTCAATCTCTCTTTTTGCTAGTTTTCATCAACCAATCCAGAAACTAGATATCACTTGTTTTCTACTTGGCGTTTGTGCTTCAAAGCAGCAATGAGTCACCTAACTCTTTAAAGTAATGTTATTTACATTTTCGTTGTAGCATCGTGAGGCCGAGTCCACTGTTCAGGAGCTTCGAGATGATCTTGATGCCGAAAAGGCGGCCCGTGACCGTGCGGAAAACCAAAAGCGGGACCTGAAGGAGGAGCTGGAGGCCCTTCGTCTCGAGCTCATCGACTCTGGCACCAATTCCGAGGCCCAGGCCGAGGCCCTGCGTAAACACGAGGCCGAGCTTTCCAACGCTCGAAAACAACTTGAAACCGAGGCAGCGTAAGCCATACTCGACTGTCCTTTTGAAAAAAAAACCCGGACTCATGCTTTTTTCATAAAACGTTCACTTTCCTCATGTAGACATGCTGCGAAAACACGTTTTTAGCATCCTATGCATCTGTTGTCTGTTTCATCTCTTGTTTCACCAATGCATCTAAGTTGCCCTGGTCACATTATTTTGCTCTTTTTGATAGAACCCACGAAGCTGCTGTGGCTGAGTTACGGAAGAAACACAACGCCACCGTGGAGCAAATAACAGAGCAACTTGAGGCCATGAAGCGGGTCAAGGTGGCTATGGAAACCTCTAAATCCCAACTCGAGGCCGGCAATGCCGACCTCACAAATCAGCTCAACACCGCGTTGGCTGCTAAGTGAGTCGATAGCCAACTGAAATTGGCGTCACACTCGATTGGCATGTCCAAAGGAACTACGAGGGATAAGGCTCAGTTGGCAAATTTCTGGGTCGCGACTTTAATGTACCCGGCTGTATTACCGGTTTCATACGATTGTGACAGCTGCCTCTGACAGTTGTGGTATTATTGATCTATGTTAGCTCGAGTTTATAGGAGTTGTCAATGCCCGCCCAACTTTCACAGATCTCCGGTATTTAATATCATTATTGCATTCGTGCTACCTGTAACCTAGCTATTTAGCGTGTTTATGCACGCGAATCCATTGCATATGTTGGATTGAATTCCCCACACCCTAACCATCTTCATCAAAAGATGCATGTTGGGCTTAATGTGTTTTTGGGGGTTAAGTCTTTGCGCCTAAATACTTATATTATCGACTTCACCTGAACTTTTTAAGATATCAGCTGGAATTTTTACACACAATTTTGTCGAAATCGTGAGCTTCCTTTTTTGGTAATCGACGCTGTGCTTGTGGACGGCAAACAGGTGGTTAAGATGTACTACTCAGCATGACCTCGTTAGCTAGATTGTATTCGACTAACAGAGGCTGGTCAAATCCACACAGGAGACATACTTTTTCAAACCATTGATTAAGGTGTTTCCCATTGTCTATATTTTTTATTTAGTTCACATCCTATGTGTCTACAAGGGTATTTATAATCTTTCAGGGCAGAGTCGGAGAAAAAACGCCGCGCTATTGAGCAGAAGTTGAATGACAAATACGTCAAGTTAGAGGAGTCTGATCGCCTCAGGGCGGATATTGAGGAGCGCTTGAATAAGACCTTGACCGAGTTGGAGGCAGCTAACAAGGCTCTTGAAACCTCCGAAGCAGAGGTTGCCAAACTGAGTCGATCGGAGGGTAACAACGTCTCTATGATTGCCGAACTCAAACAGAATTTGGAGGACGAGACGCGTGCCAAATTGGCCCTACAGACTCGCTTGAGACAGGCAGAATCAGAACGAGAAGAGGTGAAAGACAAATTGGATGAAGAGGAGCAGAATAAACAAGCTCTTGAGAAGCATGTTCAAATGCTACAACAGCAGGTTTGTAACATTTTACCCTCCATTCTCCATCTACCTGATCCTTTCCATCTGATTACATCCATTTGGAGTGAATGGATGCAACTGTGTTGGGTGGTCCGTCATCTTGATCTCCTCCATCTACTTCAGAAGGCGCCCAAAATAATGTGACTGAAAGTCTCTAACTAGTTTTGCTTTAGTGACTCCTTGTAGTTGAGCTAAACGTAGTCTACAATCACCAAGACCTGTTTGTGTTTCTGATAAGTAGACTCCTACGTGGCAACTTGTACAATGCTCTTGTTTGTTTAGATGGATGACGTAAAGGCAAAAGTTGCTGAAGACGCCAAACAAATTGAGGCCCTTGAGGACACTCGTAAGAAACTTCAGCGTGATAAAGACGAATTGACTAATCGCAATGAGGAGCTTTCATCGCAGGTCGAAAAGTTGGAGAAATCTCGTCGGAAATTGCAAGGAGAGGTATGTCCGGGGGCACTCTGGTGCTTCTTGTACCTTACGCCTAATATGGCTCTGGCCGCCTGCATTGCATTGGTGTGTAATACTCCTTTTCTGTGAAGTCGCATTATCTGTTATACCAGAGACAATGTTCTCGGTGGTTTCGTTCATTCCGTATTTTCCATTGTCTTATGTTCTCGTGTTTTTTCGGTGACAAAGAGCTGCCACCGTTTTTCGGTTCCCCTCGCCAATTTCTACTGGCTACCTAATAAAACTAAAACTGGTATAATTTTGTATTGTAATTTGCCGCGATTTTTTCGATGTCCTAATTTAAATTAATGGCACTTCTAAAGTGTCGGGAGTTTTTTTGCTTTAGCATTTGTTTGTTGGCTCTTGTGTATTGCTCTTGGATTTCCCCATCATTAAATTCTGCCTGACAGCAAAGCTTTCCGCTAACTTTTTTCCACCACAACCGATCCGCTTTTCCATAGACTAAAAGTGGATGTGAAATTTCGCTAAAAGAGATGGTGTTGTTTAGCATTAGTTGTTAGCCACCCCATAAGGCAAGCATAGTCATTTACCGTGTCATTTTCAACTGCAGCTTGAGGATGCCAATCACGCCCTAGCCGCTCAACGCTCGGATCAGGTAAACAGTGAGCGCCGTCTGAAGAAGCTGGAGGCCTCGCTGGCTGACGCCACGGCCAACGCCAAGCGCCTCCAGGAGGAGAAAGACCAGGCCGACCGGGACATGCGCGAGCGCGAGACCCTCCTCTTGACTCGCGACCGCGAGCTAGAGGATCTTCAGGACCGCCTCGAAGACTCTGAACGACTACGCTCCAACCTCAGCCGGGAGTTGGAAGAATTAGTCTCACATACCGACGATACGGGAAAGAGCAAAATCGAATTAGAGCAGGCCAACTTCCAGTTGGAGAATCAGCTCAAGGAACTAAAGCAACAATTTGAGGAGCTTGAAGATGATCAAGCTCAGCTTGCCATGGAGAAGCAACGTGCTGATGTAAATTATTTTCTAAACAGAGGGTTTTCATGGGCGGTTTTATGGCTACTCCACTCGGTGCTTCTGTGGATGTAATTGAAATCAGGCTTAGGGTTCGCTATTTTGAATGACCTAGAACCGTTTGAAATCGTGTGAAATCGATCTTTCTGTTATGTTCCTCTGTTTTGTGGAAAGTGAGAATCTCCTAGTTTCGTGTGCTTCTTCACAGACATTTAACCAATGGATCTGGGCTGGCACTAGTACTTTAACCAGCATGCGTCAGTTCCATGTCTCATCCAAAAAAGGCTTTCGTTGGGGCCTCTTTTTCTAACGACGGCTTGATTGATGTAATCGTCTTATCCATTATTCCATCGGAGAATATATTAATTAACTCGGGATTTATTTGGTCCTTTATAGCTTCAAATCAATGCTCTCAAAACTCAATTAGAACGTGAACTGGCAAGTCGTAGTGAAGGTTTTGAGGAACAGCGTCGGCAGTTGTTGAAACAGCTCCGAGAAGCCAAAGAGGAGTTGGAGGACGAAAAGAAGCAGCGCACGAGTGCTCTGCTTATCCGTAAGAAACTTGATGGTGACCTTGCAGAAGCCAATCAGCGAGCTGATGCCGCAGAGAGGCAGCGAGAGGAGACAGGGAAGCAGCTGAAGCGTCTTCAGGGTGTCAGCATAGAACTCAAACGTGACCTCGATGCATCGCTGAAGGCGCGTGATGAGGCCGTTACGGCGATGCGCGACCTCGAAAAGCGGATCCGTGTCGCGGAAGCTGAGCGCGCTCAGGCTCTGGAGGACCTGGCTTCCGCGGAGCGCATTTGCCGGACTGCCAAGTCGGAGCGAGATGAGGCTCTTGAGGAATCCAATGCTGCTCTTAACGCAAAGTAAGCAGGGGTTAGGGTGCTAGGGCACCATTCTGCCGTAGGTATTTGCATTTAGTAATATCGCATTTGCCCATTGTTTCTTAGGTTAATGAATGCCCTTTTAGAGTGCACTCTGCACTTTTTGGACGGACTTGTAAATGTGTTCATAAATTTTTTGGTCGACGTGCCGGCTCGAGTTCATTACTCATCGTCACAGACAAACACCGCCTCTGGGCGCGCTGCTCCGAATGGCTTGACCACGTTTGGTCGTTTTTTACATCAAATGTGATGCCTTCTGTATTGCGTCTCCTTTGTGGCTTCACTCGATTAATTAGTCTGCCACGTATCGCAAAATGTCGGTTGGTAGGCGACTACAGGAACTTTTGTGACGATGACCACCACACACCAGGCCCACCATCACCCCCTTTTTTTGTTAATTTGGCTGTTCGATCGGTAGTGCAGGGTTTTTTTCACTTGAGGAATTATTCATTATTCTGTAGTTGCCTGTTTTCATCGAATAAATTGTCTTGTCCCTTGAATACACAGGAAGTGTCGTATTTTATTTTAATTAAAATGGTGAGTTAGTGCTTTGTTCGCGCGTCCCCATTGTTGCCTGCTTGTGAGAGGACATTGGCTGAGGCAGTAAAGGCTCGCACACGAGGCCGACCCGGCGTATCCGCCTCCTCTCCCCTCCATGTTTGCGTATGCGTCATCCTCTCGTTGGCACGGCTGCCCACGTCTCTGCCTTGCTTGGGCTGACGCACGCCACGGTCGAATTAGGCCAGGCACGACTTCCTTGTATGCGTGTGCGTGCCTGCTCCGCACATCGTATGACTACCGCCTACGTGTGGATTCCTTTGTTTTCTTCCTCTTCTGGTGATTGGCAGAAAGCCCGAGTCCTGTGTTAAAATTTTCTCACACTAAACCGAGCAGGTCTGTGGTGGGATTGTTTTGCTCCTCGCCGCAAATTTTATTTTCCATAGTGCATGAATGTCATGACGAAAACATCAACCCCATCATGAAAGCACTAGCTACCTTGAATTCAGACTGTCATTGTGCAATTTTGTGCTAATTACGCGACGTTTAACCATGTAAGCATCGTGGTCGTGGGACTTCCAGTTTCAGTCTAGATGCCTTCGTTAACCGTTTCATCCGATGACAAAACATTCCCACTAAACCCTGTGACGAAAACATTTGCTGATGAATGAATTGCTTTATTTGGAATTCCCTCCATTGTGTAAATATCAGGGGCAAAATTCGAGTCAACTCTTCCATCATCACATTCAGTTCCTGGGAATGAACCACATCCGAACGATACCCTTCCCCACTAAATCAAGTGGCATTGTAGGTTAATTCTTCGTTGCATCCCTACAGTTATCTGCGTAGCGTAAGTGGTCCTGTACAGCTTGGCGGCTCTGATGTGGTCCTGGATCGATTCTGGAGCCTTTACACATTTTGACTCTGTCCTGGTCATCCAGCATACAGCTTGATTCCTCGCTTATTATTATTATTATAAAATCCGATAGAGTGGGTTGTCAACTGGCTGATCTTCGCAGCAAGGCGGTTCAGATTTAGAGGGGGTTTTTCTGAAGAACGTGGTTCCTGTACTGTGCTCCAGCTCTCTGGTCAAGCAGTTAACGATGTCACATTTCCATCATTTTAAGGAATACTCTGATGGAGGAGAAGAAGCGCCTCGAATCAGCGATGTTGCATCGGGACGAGGAACTCGAGGAGGCTCAGACTGCCCGGGAGGAAGCAGAAGAGCGTTACAAGCGTACTCTCGGACTGCTTGAACAGGCTCAGGTCGACTTGGGTTTGGAGAGAACCAATGCGCAGCGCATCGAGGCTCAACGTGCCACCTTTGAGAAACAGGCAAGTAGCTACGTGATCACTTTTATTTACGTTGTCCTTAGCCTAGAAATTCCAAATTGAAGTCTCGTCAGAAAACGCACATCCCCTCTTAACAGGAAATTTGCCATATTACTGTGCATTCAGGCTGGCGCAACTGTGTGTGCTCACTTGTGGGATGACGTAATCAAGTTATATTCTGTACAATCTTGTGTAAAAGTCTTAATTTTTTCATGGACCAGTCTTGTCATCTCGTAGACCGAAATTTGCGGAATTTAGGACGACTTATGTCATTTATCGGAAGTTTTGTTCGTTTGAGCTCCAGTCCTTAATTGCGCTAAAACGCGTTTTGCCGAAACTTCGACGAATATCGCAGTCCTACATGTTAAATATCGCGATCATGTGGCGTTGCTGGTGCTGGTATCACCTCGAAACTAGGTTTATTTAAGTGTTTCGCTTTGTTTGCCATGGTTTAACGGTATGGTCAAATTGGCGTCATATTCAACTTGCAAGTCTACCTTGTTTGTGAGAAATCTAACATCACGTCTTTGCTCCAGATCAAAGAACTGCGGGAAAAGTTGGCGGAGCAGGAAAGGGATAGTGGCAAGCGACTGAAGTTGCAAGTTGCGGCCATGGAGGAGCGGATGGTTGCGATGGATGAACAATTGGAAAATGAGAACAAGGAGCGCCAGAATGCAAATCGCGCTGCCCGTCGGTTGGACAAACGCTTGAAGGAGGTATTGCTGCAGGTAAGCACTTTATTAGTAACATAATTGTGCACTATGCATGCTTGCCTGCCCATACAGTTTTGGAGTTTCTCATTTTAATGATAAAATGCAAATAGTTCATGTTATGAACACCAAAGCATGCATTGATTTTGTGGATAAATATTAACTGTGTGGTTCTGCTACTTTTGTATATTCGTTTTTCTAGCGCACCAACACGTTGCCTAGTGTATATTTCCTCCGCAATTTGTGCTTTGCTTTGCACCCGACTCTGTCTCTTGCATCTATCATTTCTCCGAGTAATGTCGTCAATTTGGTCTTTGTTTACCATAAAAGATCGTGGTTACTCCACTTTTATTCTTTTAACTAAAAGCTTATTCGACTAGGTATAGTGAAGTCGCATCTGTTTGTTGGTCGTCAAGTGGTGGAAGCAGCTACCGCACTCTGTGGATGGTGTTGCATCACACCTATTTGAAGTACCGGCGTGTGCCTCCGAGTTTATAACGAAGACCTGTTGTGTGGCATTGCTTGAGCCCTCACACAGGCCTAATTATTTGTGTTGAGCTTTCGAATGTTTGATGCCAAAGCACTTGAGGGAGCGTGGCGGCCTCCAAGTCTAGCGGTGTTCATTGGTATTGAAGTGTGTGAATAGTTGTGGTCGATGTTAAGTAGAGAGGCGTCGGACCTGTGTCTTGTGGTCATTGACTCTGAAGTGGGTCTAAGTTTATGGGAAAGGCCAAGTG